TGGGTGGCTGGGGATGTAGAGATGTGAACTCCCAATACATGTCATGGGAACCAAATTCGGGAGGGTTGCTTACCTAATTTATTTTAGCAACTCCAAAACTGCATGATATGTTTACAAGCACTTAGAGTTCAAGTCTATTCCACTGAAGTTGTTGGGGCACCTTCAGTTTTGTTGTTGCTACTCATGTCACTCTATGTCAAATACATATTTCAGTTAGATATATGTATTCTCTCATATATTTGCTACTAGGAATAATAGACTGAAAAATAGTAATTACAAAACATAAAACATTGCAGAAAAATAAAACACAGGATCTGACAATGGGCATTTTGTAATTATTGTCCACATTAAAATTGGGTTGTTTTTACCAAGGGAGGTAAATTAGGGAAGAGCTATAGCTCAATGCTAGAGCAAATGCTTTGTGTGCAGAATGTCTCAAGTTCAATATCTGGTCATCTCTAGTACTAGGAAAGAATCCTGGCTTAATCCTGGAGAACCACTGCCAGTTAACATTGAAAATCTTGGATGAGCCAGTAGTCCGGCACAGTATAAAGCAACTTCTTATGTTCACCATTTTCCCATATTTGTGTGTACTTAAAATTGCAGTATGTGCTGTGTTCATAAATATTTAATATTTCAAGTTATAAATAAATCAATTGATGCTCTTAAAGTAGTAAAGTAAATTTAGAACTGATTGAATAAATAATGCATATATATATATTTATTGGTTTAAAACATTTTCAAGTGGCCTTTCTGGACCACATCCACCCAAGTTAGCTAACAACAATATACCTTTAGGGTCATTTACCCATCTGGATAGGGGCATGGACACACAGGGTGAATAAGTTAGCAACTGTGAATCCTGCCACATTGCCTACCATCAAAGGCATTACATTGGTGAGTACAAGAGAGAATAGCTTTTATCCTACAGTTCTATACCTTATATTGCTTTGTATTGTTTTATCTAGGGCAATCCCTTGGAAGAATTCCACCTTTAAAGGCAGCCTAAAACTAAAAAAACCCCACTGTTGTAAAATTAAAAACAAAAACCAAAGTATAAAGAGTAGAAAACATTTTCCAAAGCACAGCAGTAAAGTAACAGCAGCATGTCCAGCATTATGTCAATTAAAAGCTATTTCTAACAGTTGGGCTTTTAAGATTTAAGAATACTGAAGCTAAAGAGGCCAACTGTGGTAGGGAATTCCATACAGTGGGAACTGCTACTTGAATGCCCTGTCCCTAGTGTTTAACAGATTAACCTTTGTCAGGACAACAATGGGTCTCTTGATTTTAAAGGAAGGACAGAGTCCTGTGTGTATAGAAGGTAGCGTATAATTGACCTGGCCCCAAGCTGGTTAGGGCTTTAAAAGCCAAAACTGACACTTCAAATTGCTCCTGGAAATATACCAATAACCAGTGCTGCTAGAACAGAGTTGAGGTAACATGTTCTGACCATCCTGCCCAATGAGCACAAAACCAGCCACCTTTTGCACCTGCAGAAGTTAATACTTTGCAACTCCACACAAAGTGTTTTATATCCAGAAATCTAGACTGAATGTAACTAGTATGTGCATGGCTGAGGCAAAGTTCACTTTCACTAGGTACAGATGCAGCTGGTGTACCAGGAGTGCTTTTATAAGGCATTCCTGACCAGTGCCATCACGTATGATTCTACAAATAGTGCAGAATCTAGAAATCTCCATAGTTGGTTCTTTAAGAAAAGTGCCTTCCCTTGTTCTTTTATGCAAATGTTAAAAATCCTGTGGAACAGAAGCCAAAAAAAGGGGGCACAGCTTCTAAAGTGGTGTCTCTTGGAAGAAACGGATCCACTGTTTACTGAATTTCCAAGCCCTAAATGAGCCAAGTATGTTTTTATTTAAATAAAAAATTTCAACCTAAAAAAAATTTCAACCTAAATGAGCCAAGGAGACCATTGAGTGTATCAAAAGTCACACAGAAATTCAGAACATTGAATATGGTTGCAGGCTTTCCATCTATTTCTTGTGTACACTTTCAAAATAATCAGTGTCTTCTAGGGTAACTAGATTTAAGAGGAAATTCCCTGTTCAGACTTCTGTTCAGAAACAGAAAACTAGAAACTAGTGATAGGTGTGAAAGGATGATTTGAAACAAGGGAGTAAAGAGATTTAAAAAGGTAACAAAGAAAATTACTTAGCCCAAAGGAGGGGAGGGGCTAAAATCAGCACAAGGTATGAGGAAACAGGCACTTAGGCAGGAGGGCCAAATACTTCCTGATTGTTTATTGACAAGCCGGGCAGAACAAAATGAGCCTATTGTAGCCCACCAGGGGCAAAGCTGGATTGGGAAGACGGGCCAGTGTTGGGGCAGCGCGGAGTAGGCGGGTGGAAAGAGTGTTAACTCTCAGTACCCTAGCCAATAAGGGGAAAGGAGGAGGGAGAAGCGGCCAGGGGCAGGTCATATAAAATGAGATGCAAACATGTGCTCAGGTGAACAGGAAAATGGGAAGGAAACCTTTTTTTTTGTTTCCTTCATTGCAATAAAGTTTTAAAAAGAACTCTCTGCATGCCTGGAATATTTTTCTCTTCCGACGGAAAGGAAAGAGTGATCATAACAACCTGGGGGTCTGTCCGGGACATCTCCTAAATGGCTCAATTTGGTGAGTCACTGTAGGAGGGTACCCTGCCGAGGTTATGGCAGTCCTGCAAGTGACTCTCAGGCCGAAACGAGGGTGATCAGAGGCCCGAGACTAATTGAAAATCCTGCAGCAGAGACTTCTAGAACCTCAGGAGGGGTTCAGAAGGGGGTTTACTCAGGCAGAGTATCTAAGTTTAGATACATGCATCTAAGTTTAGGTAAATAATCTTTTATTTCTCACCCAAGGGAAAGGGAATTGGGAGTAAAATATTCAGAAAAGGGGGGGTCAGGCTGGATGGCCCAGGAGGTCCTTCCTGACCCGTTCTGTTTCTATAGGGGTAAAGGGGCCAAGGAAAGATGTTTTCCTTGAAAATTCCTGGGGAGTATTTTAAGGTTCTGGGATAGCTTTTGGGTTGGGGTGGCTGGAAAAGGAAAAAATGGAAAACTACTGTGTATTTGTATGTGTGTTTGATGGGAATCCCTCCTAAATAAAAGGGGTGTGTGTGGCATAATTGTTGCTGTTTTTGGACATGGTCAATAGGGAGTTCTTGTGGATTTGGGCCTAAAGTGTGGGACCTTTCAGGAAAGAACTACTCAAACTCTCTGGAGGTACAGTTGAGGTAAGGTTAGCAGATTGTTTTTGGAGAAGGAACTAGAGTTAGGAAGTGTACTTTGGACCAAGAAAGGTGAAAACTGCATCTGAGGGGCTGGAGAGGCTAAAGGGGAAATGGATTCAGGAAATCCAGCCCATCAGATACTGCTGGAGTATCAGTTAGTGAAGGAAGACATGGTAGGAAAGAAGGAAGAGGATTTGTTCGGGAGGAAACACGTGCAAAGCACTGTGTGGTGTGGTTGTAATTTCATGGTTTGGATTGGAATTTTGTAGGAGATGTTGCAAGTAGAAAGAGGCAAGTGAGCAGATGGATTGTGGCAATTAAAGAAAAGGGAGGCAGGGAATCCTGCTTATCCTGAAGGGATTCCCAGAGAAAGAAATGGGGAAAAAAGGGAAGGAAAACTAAAGCCAAGACGCAGAAGGGAAGGGTTTTCTTTTATGTGTTGAGGAGGTTTTTGGAAAAATAGTGGAAATTGGATGGTTGTGTTTAGCAAGCAGCCTGAACAGTAGCAGGCTGGAGTTCAACAAGTGAAGATTGCACATGGAAGCAGCGAAAGGGGAGGGAGTGGGGGTTGCAGGCCCTGTGGGCTTAGGCCTGGCAGTTTCCCTCTCGCATAAGGGCTCCTGTTGGAAGTCCTCCTTGTCAGGCAGGTAGTAAATATGTTCTTGGTTTTTTCTGGGCTGATTTGGTTTCTCTACCTGCTGAACATGCAATTGTTTGGTATGTGGGGTGTAAAGGGCAAAAGGAAGATTGTGCTGGAGGCCATGTGAGGATGCAAGTATGTGAGGTGATGTATTTTGCAGGAATTCCTTGCTTTAAAGGGAGGCATGGTGCTTGGTGTGTGAGTGGGCTTTTTAGGAGTTTTGGATAAATGGTGGTTGAGTGTTTTGGTACAAAATGGGAAAAAATGTAAAGAATGAAACTGCTAAAGTTTCTCATGGAAGCACAAAATGGAGGAGTTGGGAGTGACAATGAAGGCCATGAGTTCAAACCCCTGCTGTTGCAGGGTGCCATGTTACACACTTTTCATTTGAGTAAAGAAAAGAAGGAAAAAGCAAATGAAAAAGAGGGGGTTGGTGTACCTCATTTGTTGAGAGCACTCCATTATTTAAGGGACAGCAACAGCAGCTTTTTCTGGATTTGGTCTGGCCAACTGAATTCAGGGAAATGTGTGCTGGAAATTATAGACTTTTGACTCTGTGGGCTTGGCCATCCCCACACAGCCAAGAAAGGGGAATGCTCTGGCAGAAGGTACTACCATTTTGCGAGTGCTGCAGAGGGAGCACTCACAAGAGTCTCTGAGCATGGGCAGAGTTCAAAGTGCTTTGGGAAGTTGGGGCAGTGCTGCTTCCAGCCACGAGTTGGGGGCAGCCTTGCACTGGTTCTCTGGATGGGACCTAGGGTGTCTAGAAAACTCTAAAAGGGGATATTGGTGGGTTTTAAATCTTAAAGGGAGGGGGTCAGTAAGGTAGTGCAACTGAGGTGAGACCTTGGAGGTTCTTTGAATGTTCAAAGCCTGTATTGCCTCAGGAAAAATTCTGCATGGGAAAGGGATTGGGTTAAAACAAAAGACCCTTGAGCACTCTCAATGGGGAGACTGGGGGGAATTTTTTAAGGGAGGAAAACCTTCTAGAAGCAGTATTGTGGGAATGCATTGTTTGTGTTGGCTACCAGGAGTTTTGTGTGGAAGTGGAAGGGGAATGTGTTCTGAATTCTGGGTATACCATCTTGTGGCTGTGCCACAACACAAAGATTGGAGGAAGGGGGGTAATGGGTGGAACTGGGGCTGTTTGGTTGGGGATGTGTGTGCATGCAGGGGTGCACAGTGGGAGGGGTTCTTTTCAAAAACCCTGAGGAGACTACTTTTACCTGTGGGTTCAACAAGAGGGTTGTTCCCTTTTCCTTTTTGCAATGTTGCCAAGTACTTTGATCGGGCCCCAGATTTTACAAGGAAAGATAGCTATGGAGGGTGTTTTGTACAAGAAAGGAATATTGATGGTGCTAAGGAGAGTTTTCCTTACAGTAGTCTAATGTTTGTGGGGGGGGGGCTAAGCCCATTTGCTAGCCCCAGGTAATGGCAAGGGTTTTTGTTATTTTTCCTGCTTTGAGCATAAGCAGTCGTGCTCATCAAGATGCACAAGCATTGATTGTTTGATTGTGAAGGGTGCTAGTTCAAGTAGCATGTATACGTAATGTATTTGGGACATGTTTGTCTTTATGTATGTGGGGAAGTACCATCTCTTGTAAAATTTGTGTAATACCATGTTCTCACTGGACAAACACCATCAGAAGGCACACTTTGCTTTAACCAAGGCAAGCAATGTGTTTGTGAAGCATGTGAGTTCAACAAGGGGTTTCTCTTGTATGTGCTTTTGACATGGGTTGGATTTGATTTCAACATCTCGGACATTTTTCTTGAGACTGTGCTGAACGGGCGGGGCAGGCTTGAGAAGGACAAAGATTTCTCAACTTTCTCTCCAAGCTAATGTGGTTAACCAGTGTCTGTGAAGAAATGTAAAGTTTTTTTTTCTAATCCACCTGTTTTGTGAGCTGTACTTTCCAGACACCAGATGAACTGGAACTGCAAAGACTGCGATTCCTGTGTTCTGCCTTGCTCTTTGTATCATCCACGAGGAAGCAAAGGGCTAACCAGGCAAACCGTGAGAGGCAAGTCCTACAGCTGAGTCCAGAAATTGAGTGAAGCCTAGACAACGAAATCTCGAAGAATCATCTCAAGAATCATCTCAAGATAACTGAACTGGACATTAGGCCATTGCCTCATATCACACTGCTCCCACCTTGCGAAGCAGGCTAACCTGAGTCTGTTGACCAAAAGGGATGGTGGCCTTAGGGTATTCATCATCGTGGGGGTCTCAGTCCCAATGAGGATGATATCTTTAGGTAAATGGGTCAAAAGGAGGGGCCTAGGGAGCAAAGGAACCAGGCCTCAAAGTAGATTGGGTAACAGCGCTGCAAAGGTGCAAGGGGAGCAGGTTAAAGGTGAGAGCTGGCTGGCACTGAGTTCCTTGTAGCCAAAGAGGGGGCAATGAGATCAAGGGGTTTGACCAAGACAGTCCCCATCTGAGCTGCATGGATAGAAGCTGCTTCCTGAGAAAGAGGAAGCACCAGGAGTTATCTGAACTGGCTGATTTGTTTGGTTGATCACAAAGGGGGGAACCCTTGAAGAAATCTGATAAAATCCTGGCAGAGGGGGGTTGCTTATATGCACCTCTGGGCTTAGGTCAGATCTCTCTTGATATTGGCTGTTGGTTCAAGAGGATGGGAATTCGTGGCTTGTATAGGGGCTGCTGGGGCCATTGTTTTGCTGATTGGGTAGGGCAGATAAAGCTGCCAGATAGACATCATTGCAATCGTCCTCATTTGCATGCCAAAACACATAGTGATCCCTGTGCCACAGTGGCAATTTTACAACTTGGTTACAGTGAAAGCAGGGATAGAACAAGTGTGGGCGGCTAATCCAGAGTGGAAAGCCATGCAGCAAGACATCAAGGATGCCCACTGATGCTTGTTGGCAAAGGGAAATATGGGGAATTCATTTTGGACATCAAAGACCCCATCAGATAATTTAGGGGCATTTTGGATATGAGTGAGGAATGAACTGGGAGATGAGGACTGCTCCAGGCAGTCAAAAAAAATGACTTGGATAGAGAACCTCTTTTCAAAGGTTAGAGGATCCATGGTGAGACGGGAGCATTTTGAAGGAGGAAGCTAGACGTGTAAAATGGGGATGCACCAGGGACTGTTACAGGTGGACCATAAAGGTGAATGAGTGTGTGCTCAGGGCTCCAGTTTGGGGAGAATGGAGTCCTTTACTGGTTAACATGACTGGATGGAAGTGTCATATATCTGAGATCACAAGAGGAGGCCCAGTGGATACTGGAAAGCAGTTATGCTACACTGGGTTGGCACCTATGTATGTAAGGATGGGTGTGTAACCCTTCCTGAATACTTTTTCTTGAAAATGGGGATGTGGGGAGATTCTCCAGTTATAAGGAAGGTGCAGGAGTGACAGTAGGATTAATACAATTGGGAGATGTACCCTGCCAGGATCATTATTCACAGAGGTGTGCCAGAGACATAAAGGTAACTCAAGAATGCTGTGTGGGAAAGGAACTAACAATCCCAACAAAAGGAGGGGTGATCGGGATTGGAATGGTCTCTTTTACAACATCTACTCATGTATATTTAGCACATCTTCAGGAGCAAATGGCCTGTGCAGTAGTAGCTCTTGGAAATGCTACTATGCGCGCACTAGGGAAGCCGGCTGGAGAGATGCAACAAAAGGAGGCATATACACCACAAAATAGGGTGGCTCTGAATTATGTTTTAGTATCAAAGGGACCTGTGGGGTGATTGGACATACCTGCAAGATGGATTTAGATGAACAGATGTCAACAAAGACTTAAGAGAAATCGCAACAAGTAGTACCAGGGATCAAAATAAGGCAGGAGTCAGGAATAGGAGAATAGGCTGACATAATGGCTCCCCATCTTTATGTTGTTGGAACACCTGTTTTCATATAGGGGATAATGGCCATAAGCATAATCTGCTGCACTAGCCTACAATGTATACTTGTCTGCGGCCCATGTAATAAGGGGATGCGTTTGGGGGGAAATGCACAGACGACGAAATAATTAGGGTGATGGTATCAAAGTTTAAGAATTAGGAATTGTTTCAAATCAGAGTGAAGGAAAGAAAAGGGAGGGATTGATAGGTGTGAAAGGATGATTTGAAACCAGGGAGTAAAGAGATTTAAAAAGGTAACAAAAGAAAATTACTTAGCCCAAAGGAGGGGAGGGGCTAAAATCAGCACAAGGTATGGGGAAGCAGGCACGTAGGCAGGAGAGCCAAATACTTCCTTATTGTTTTTTGACAAGCCGGGCTGAACAATATGAGCCTATTGTAGCCCACCAGGGGCAAAGCTGGATTGGGAGGACGCGCCAGTGTTGGGGCAGCGCGGAGTAGGCGGGCGGAAAGAGTGTTAACTCTCAGTACCCTAGCCAATAAGGGGAAAGGAGGAGGGAGAAGCGGCCGGGGGCAGGGCATATAAAATGAGATGCGAACATGTGCTCAGGTGAACGGGAAAATGGGAAGGAAACCATTTTTTTCTGTTCCCTTCATTGCAATAAAGTTTTAAAAAGAACTCTCTGCATGCCTGGAATATTTTTCTCTTCCGACGGAAAGGAAAGAGTGATCATAACACTAGGGAGTAATGTTCCTTTACCATAGGAATAAGAATGAATTTTTGCAGACATGATTGCTACCATCTCTTTAAGGATGCCAGAAAATCCCCCCTCTCTGAAAATAATGTATCTTTTCAGTTTTATATCTAGGGGAAAATGAGGCTTAAGGTTTTATTCTGGGCTTCGAAATTTTCATTTTTGAAAGAAGAGTTATTAAAACTGACTAGTAGCCAGTTCGTCTAGTTGCAGCATGCTGGAGAATATATCAGAAAGTGTTAGTGAGTTCACTTTTAATATTTTCTAGCTCTCTTTTGATGATGGATTATTTCATCTGTTTATTTTAGGTTTTGGACGGAGGGATGTAGTGGAATTACTGCTTTTGAGTGGTGCTAATGTCCATGCACGAGATGATGGAGGCCTCATTCCACTTCATAATGCCTGCTCTTTTGGTCATGCTGATGCTGTCAATCTTCTCTTGCGACATGGTTCAGATCCTAATGCCCGGGATAATTGGAATTACACTCCTCTTCATGAAGCTGCTATTAAGGGAAAAATTGATGTTTGCATAGGTAACTATCAAAAAATATTGTATATAAAATTATTAAGTATCTGTCTTTCAAACCATCCATGGCCTTCATGCAAAAATATGGAGTTGATACTTGAGAAAAATACTTAAAGTAAATACTCTAGAAAGCCTGTTCAAAATGTATGTGATCTAAATTGCAAACGAATCTTTTACATCATTTGCCTGCTCTATGGAAACTAACAAACAGAAGGGGCTGTGCTGTCTTGGTAGCTAACAGATTGACATTATGACATTGAAAGGCTAAACCAATCACCTCCTGTAATACAAAGTACTGAGTATTTTACAAAACTTTTGATATATGAATGGGACTCATAGGCACCAGCTTCAAAAGTTTACCTATTTGAATATTTTGTGCTCCTTTGTTAAAACCTGTGTTTAACTGCTAGAAGGTTGTATGCATTGCATACAAATCAATGCACACATTCTTAAAGAAACAAACTTTAAAAAAAATCTCTTGGTTCCTGTGGTTAGTGACCCCTGCATTGGGGAATCACAGCATCCACTCTTACGTTACTTACTCGTCAGGTCTAATGAGATTCTGTATGTCTCCAAAAACCTGGACTTTCTGATAATGAATTTTAAAAACGTTTGGTTTTGCTTTATTTAGTATTGTTGCAACATGGTGCTGATCCAGCTATTCGTAATACAGATGGAAGGACAGCACTGGACTTAGCAGACCCATCAGCAAAAGCAGTGCTAACAGGTAAATTGTGTCTTGTGTAACATCCCTAGATTTAAATTTGCTTCCAGTTGCCTTTTGCTGACATTTTCCCTGGGTTCTCAGAGTGAAAGATGTAGATATTA